ATAAAACATGTGCACTCGTTTAACGAACCTACGACTATGATTGCTGATCACTCCTTGTTACGAATGCTGTCTGAAGCACACAGCAGAAGTCGCAAGGCAGAAACAGGTTTCGCAGGATAGATCGGGGTAGCTAGTTTGTCTGTACTTTTCGCGGAAAAGAGGTGGAAAGCAAAATGCATGCAATAGCAACAAATACGCTTTCTAACAGAACCACATCTATGCGAACTGCAGGGATACTGAAATCCGTGTGGATTTCTACTGCTTCACTTTACGGACTCTAAGATGCTTGGAATTATGGCACGCTTTTTGTGTGTGCACGTGCGTTTACATACTACTCTCACCCTCTAATTCTGCGCATTTGTCTGGTTCCCGCGCCTTGTGTACAATGATCCTGACTCCGCCTGGACAGACGACAGACCAGTGAGAAAACATTCACCACGTGTCCACATACGAAGGTGTGCACAGACCATACCGCTTCCTTCCACCCCTAGGCAGGAGTTTGAATGAATATCGGCTTTAGGCCAATCTGTTCAATCACTGTTCACTTACGTTGATCAGTTGTGTGTGTGTATTGCGATAATCAGACTTAATTTATTGTCCACCTATGAGCGCAAACAATTAAGGTTAGTTATTGTACTATAATAATATAAATAGAACCTCGCGTTCTGGACACTTTAAGCTCACTTTCTATGCATAGCTCTACAACAGTGTTTTTAGCAACGCATGAAAAGATAAGAGCTTGTAGATGCACACTTTTGTATTGACTCTTTCGTACCAGTACAGCAACAAGAAGTGAGATACACTCAAACTCGCTTTATTGCCCACCATCGGGAAATTTCAAAAGTGCGCAATAAAGCGAAGTGGGCAAATAACCGATATTTCCATTTGTTCCTAAATGAAATAACCATTAAATTGGTGTACAGTATATCACTTAAATTATACCGTGGTAAGGAGGTTAAAATACGTATTTATAACTAAAGCATATAAAAGAAGAGCATGACCTATAAGTTAAAATTTATACCATAAAGCATCTTAATTGGATAGCTACAGAAAATGGCGCTAGTGTATACTTTTGCTGAGAAAAGAACCCAACGTCGTACATTATTTTGATCTGCTACTCCAGTCACATTTGCACTGATGAAATCCAACTTGGACAAGAAATCGTTGCCTGGCTCATGCAAATTCCGCAGCTATACAGATCACTCACACAGTCCCCTGCTATGGAATGCGACGTGTGCTGATTGCTGTTACTCAAGGAGGTATCCGGCACGTCATCCGCTGTGTCGCTGCCTTCTTTCTGTTCTAGTCGGTTCTTTAACATGTTACTGACGATTTCACCTTCAATAGTTGTCAGGTCTGAGATGTATTCCACATCGTTGTCAGCGGCGACAAAGGTTTCTGCATTGATGATGTGTTGATCTCATCATCAGCGATGATGGCGTCGACAGAAAGTGCATGGGACGTCCGTTTACTGAAGGCAGCATGTCGAAAGCAAGCTTTTATTGTTGCACCGGTAACATCACCAACATTTTTAGGTGTACTGAATTGCATCGAGTACAGAAATCTTGGCGCTGACAACCACCGCCAATGATGAGCCAGGTAACACGTTGTTTTCTATGTTATAAAGAATTCGATGCACAATTTCCTTTCTGTGACGGATTTTCAAATTCATAATCACACTTTGGTCAACGGGTGGACGAATGTTGGTCGCAGCTGCGCTGTGCACTTAGCCAAGAGCAACATAATTGCTCGGCCACTTTGTCCTAGCTCCTTGTCCCGCTCAAGAATCCACTCGGTAAAAAGTTCTTTCATCAGCCACGCATTTATTGTTAACGCAATGTATCCACCTTCACGCCATTAAAACATCGTGCGTTCTTACTTTTTTCAATCAAACCCAATTTTCTTTTAACCGTGCCTGACATTTTGGCGCAGCACAGAAAATAAGTTTGTCGGTAGAAAAACTCAAAGAGCTCTCAGGAGTTGCCCAGTAAAAAAGACCTGTTTCATCTGCATTGTACACGTTGTCATCATCAACTGCATTTAAAAGTTCGGGCAGTCGATCTTTCAGCCAGTTTTCACAGACTGTCCTGTCCGCGAAACTCTTCGTTTTGCGCACGTTTATACACAAGTTGATGTCTATTCTTCCAACTTTCAAACCATCCTTCTGTGGCAGCAAATGTTTTTCCAAGTCTTTCCCCAAATTCTTCTGCTTTTTTTTAAGAAGCGGGCCTGTTTTCGGTTGTGCTCACGAACCGATACCATCCAGTCTTTCAATGCAGTTGCAACTTCTTCATTCTTTCCCCATTGCGTCTTTTTTGAGAACTTGTAGTGCCATGCAACAAATTTTACCGGAGTTCCTTTTCGCTAGCATTCAACCTGACTAGGGTATGACGAGAAATGTGTAAATCACGTAATAACTTAGCCTGCGAGGTTCCTGATGGATAAGTTTTAGTCTTGTCCAAAACGTTCAACTAGTTCTGTCAAGGACAAATCTTTTCTGATATTGGCCATCATTGTGTGCAACCAATAGTGTAATGACAAATGTGAAGCGGAAAGATTGCCAGACTTTGCTCAGTTCTCTAGTTTTGAATAGTACAGTCGTCTGTACATTCAGCTTGATCGTGTACTGAATAACGAAGATAACCTATCGGATCTCAGTTGTTGTGGAGTTCTCCGAGCTGGGCAACTTGGTTGCAGACGTTTCGCCATCATTCGAGGTGGCATCTTCAGTGCGGGATTGATAGCAGGTAAGTAGCAGTAGCTGGTAGAAAGCAAACCCAATAATGAATACGGTCAGCAGCCAGTCCGTTCCTTATATAGGCATACGGGGCTATTAATTTTGCCTCGTCATCATTGGTGAATCCTTGCGTTCAGCGGTTGTGCTCGAGCCGTTGTCATTGGCTGCGGAAATGTTATTGCGACGTGGTTGAGATTATCGCACTCGGGTTGGTGCACCAGGTGTGGGTGAGTTGTCGGGGCTCATATTGACCATGCTGTTCATTGTCCGTGTGTTGGATTATGTTCTTTCGGGCAAAGGTTGTTGATCCTCTTGAACTCTCTCTGTCTCAGCGGTTGATATATTGGATCGAGGTCGATATGCATGTTGATTGAGTTCGTGGTTGAGAACTAAGCTTCGAGAAACTCCCTCACTTTTGTGTTTCTTCTTCGGTCAAGATCTCTACCTTGTTCCAGTCGAACTTGTGTCCCGCTTCATCCACGTGTGCTGAAACCAATGAGGTTGCGTAATGGTTCTTGCACGCTCTTTGGTGTTCATGTATCCTGGTGGACAGCTTCCTTCCTGTTTGTCCGACATAGTGCTTTTCACAGTTTGCGCAGTTTATTCTATATACGACGTTCCGTCGTTCAAGTGTCTCTCGGTTTCCTTTTGGTTTTGACAATGTTTTCCTCAGAGTGGCGGTTGGCTTGTGGGCTACCATGATATGATGTTGTTTGAACAATCTGGCAGTCATTTCAGACACATTCTTTATGTATGGCAGAACTATACGTTTCGTCATAGCTGACGTAGGTTCGGTTTTTGAGGGCTTGCGGTTTAAGCATCTTCGGAGGAAACTGCGTGGGTATCAGTTGCGTTCAAATGACTTGAATAAGTGTTTTCTTCTGCTCGTTTCGCTTCTGTCGTACTGCAGTGAGTTCCTATTCTATGGAACAGTGTCTGCACACAGCTTATTTTGTGACCTCTTGGGTGGTTGCTGTTTAAATTCAAAATCTGATCGGTGTGCGTGCTTTTTCTGTAAACTAAGGTTTGCGATTCGCCGTCCATTGTTCTGGCTAATAGCACATCCAAGAAAGGAAGTTTGTTTTCCTTCTCTGATTCCATGGTAAACTGTATGCCGTCCATAACGTTGTTAAGCAGTTGTTGTGCCACCGATACTTGACTACGTTTGAGTATCACAAACGTATCATCGACGTAGCGAACCCAAAGTTTCGGATTAATTATTGGTAGTAGACTCTCTTCCAATTTTTGCATGACAATCTCTGCGATGAGTCCGGATACAGGTGATCCCATCGGTGCACCTTTCACTTGCTTATACATTTTTCCGTTGAAGGCGAAGTAAGTTGAGAGACATACACATGAGACATACACATGACATGTCTTAAGTGGCTTATCCTAACTATCTCGGCGAGCTGAGGGTTTGTCTGATAACGGTGACCAAAAACAGTCTACCTACTGATGACGCCGACAGCTGTTTAAATGTAGCTTGTGTCGATCTCACATTTGATACATCCCACATTTGTTACCGATTGCCGCTAAGTTGGCGCATTCACCAGTACTCCGGGGTGCACGACTCGGAGTTGATAGAATGTAGAGGTTTACAAACATATTAATCATGACAGGGTCTAACGAATGAGTTCATTTTAAACTGGAGAAAGAAGTCTGCTTATGCGGAGGTATTAAAATCATTAACGATGGGAAAACAGTAATCAAGAAATAAACAGCTCAGTGGGTACACAAACGTAAACGTATATTAAATGGATTTAGTACTCCCAAGGAAGGACATTCCATTTATCCAATGCTATGTCTATTATATGGCGGGCCTCACCAAAACACCCCTGATAGCGTGTGCTTATTAGTTACATCTTCAGCCCTCTCTTTTGTTAACTAACCGTTTGGGATACTTAATTGGCATTACAGCTGCCACGTTTGCAACGCTGAAATTCGTGAGTTGGTTATCACAACAAACGTAGCTGTGAAACATGAATTTCGCTTTATAATTCCAAATAAGGATAACAGGAGACGAATGTTGTGGGACTTATGTGATGTTAGTTTAGTTTTTTCGTTATCTGCATCTACGTGGCCGATGAAAAGGCACAAAATAACAGTGTCATCCCACAAAAAAATCTGATATTTTTATTTGGAACAGTAGCTGTATCGGTAATTGCAATTATCTCACATAACACATACTAGTGTACACAATATTCCCCACAAATAAAACTGACCGCAAAACCAGAAGACAAACAAGTCAAGTTAATGAGCTCACCATGAGGATCTCGCGGAATCCTCGGACCAACTCGTAAACCACACGTCGCATTTGCGGGACCAAACAGAAAATCCGCAGCGGGCGCAGACATCGAAGTACCATAAGGATATGCTCGCCAGATTCAGGCCCGATGGTCTCTACACGCATCATATAGACGACGAAAACCAGGCTAATCTGTTGTAATGTAGCGTTAAAAGAAGAGGTAATGCAGCATAAGAATTAAAATGATAAGAGCCAAATAAAAGTGCTACTCCTTTGGATAATCCAAAAACGTTTCGCGATTGCACCCAAAAAAGAATAACTGGAGCGCACGAGTGTTTATTTATTTACTAGCATATCGATATACGTTATCTGTTAAACTGTCGCATTGGACACAAATTCCTTAAATTACGTTCTTCAAAATGCCTATTCATCTCCCCCTTCTACCGACTGCACTAGATATAGCCAACAGTGTTTCATTAGCAGCGGGATCTATCGTATTAAAAACACCCAAGTGAAACAGTTGTACCCTGACAAAAATACAATCTACGAACCTGTTACTAAATCGAAAGACAGGGTAAAAGACGATTTCAGTTCAACAGTGCATAGAGTACAGTAACACAACAGGGTATGGTCATTTGTCAAGAACAAGGTGAACATTTGACGAATAAAATGCCAGCAAATTTTACACATTTCATGTATTAATTTGTGTCATCATTTCCATAATTTTATTCCACGGAACAACATGATTTATTGCCTCATTTATGATACTCATTCGTCCAAAAGAAGAAGGCCCACTAGCACAGTCGTTTAATGGTGAGGAGTATCTACTATGAACAACAAATGGACCTTAAGGAGTGTTGTGGCCTATTATGTATCTCGAAAGTGCCGACCTCCAAACATAAACGCGGAATCAAATCAAAAGACGATGTTGAAAAGGATCAGTTTCTTCCGAGAAGTCAAAACTGGATCATAATAGATACGATTTCATCGGCCTATGACATTGAAACACAAAATATAGCAAAGTATCATTAGTTCAGCCAGGGTAACGCTCATGAAACTAGCAACTCAGTCTCAAGCGAGATCGATAGACGTTCTGACAACGGATTTAGTCAGCGCATGCACGCCTTAGCATCTCCCATTTGAATGAGTCCAATAGGATTTCAGCTTGGGTTTCACTTGAACCGCTTCCCTGACTTTCGTCGTTAATCCGCCCATCTGCTCAGCATTATTTACGGTAACGTTACAGGAAGTGGAATCTCTTGTTTGCGTATGGACTAGGTTGTAACGGAATGTGCCGAGGAGCAGATTTACGACAACATGGAACCCGTTGGTTATGCATCCGGGAAAGAACGGAACTGAATGAGGTGACGAAGTCAACCTTCGGAATCAAAGGCAACACCATAAGCGACACTACGCTTGACATATCCTGCGATCCAGGTAGCCTGGTGGTAGTCATTTGCAAGTAAAGGTTTCCCATCGAAGAAAACCCGTTTCAGTGCACCATGTCTAACGTCGAACTGTTGTTCCACTGTTCATTTTTAGTTCAGGCGGATCCTGTCAGCAGGTTTAAACAGATCAAGGTGGGGTCGCAGTCGCCGTTTCATCAATGTACAGCCGGAGATTTACTTTGAGGTAACAGCGGATTCGGAGTTATCCTGTAAACAAAAAGAAACATCATGATTTTCTCCGTCGATCGATCCAGCTCGCCTTCAGTAATGCTCCCGGAAAATATTCACAAAGCCGCATCAACGCACCTAGGCATGATCGCATGAACGCACCTGCAATTCACGCGCACGTACAGACACTCTACCCCAAGGGGATAGGACGTATGAATTCTGCCTTCAAGCGAACCACAACCGAAATGCGAGCTAGACAACTGGTGTGTGGACAGAAAGGTGCATGTTAAGCGACGCGACTGCTATGGTCATGAGGTACGTTGAAGCAGTGTGACTACGGTGCATGCGAATGATGGACAACTTTTATCTCTGCCCCACCAGTATTTAGTTGGCCAGGCCAAACGAAGTTACTGTGGAGAATGGTTCCTGTGTTGGAACGGTGACTCAGCAATGGAGCACGGTGTTGCACCTTCCTCGACGACTTATCTGCAACCGGAGTTACAACACGTGGATGTTGATTATCGCGTGCTAGATTTTCGGTTGTATGGTCAGTGCGGTCTAAACGCTGCAGAAACTGCGCGGAGATACAACAAACAGTACGCTGGAATGTGGCCTTTGCGCTTTGAAACTGGCACAAAACACCAGTAACAACACCAGAAACATCAGCAACGCCAGCAAAACTGGCCGGATTCCCTCCACTATGGATAAGTGTTTGGCTGGCGGTGTTATCTACGGAGTAAACGAAAGTCCCAATATCAGCAGTGGATCAGTACCGGGACTACTGTGGCAGAAGTGGGACATCGCGTAGACAGATTAACAGGGATCTCAGCGATGGACGTTCATTGAGCGCTGATTGTTATTACAGTTTATGAGAAAACGTAGTTATATTTAACGCTCTTTAGTCTGCACGATAGCCCGCAACAATTTCCTTTAGCCAAAAAGCATAACGTTCCACTAGGCCCTTCACATAAGGAAGATGTCTGGTTGCTGAAAGAGCATTTGCTCCCTTACAGTAACCTGGTTTCATTTTTACTCAGGAAAGTTAGTGGCAAAAGTAAATCCATTCGCATGGAACAGTATAGCCGCATTTCTGGCCTAGTTCTAATGTCCGCCGAAAAATGCTACACTTATTAAAAGAAGCGCGAAGCTCATTTGCTGACTTGACTAGTCAGAAAGACACTGGTCCCGTATTTATACACCAGAATGGTCACCGGGAAGTTGCTGTCCTGTAATAGTTATCCAAAAGCATAGTGCCTCTAAGCCATATAAACACGAAAAAGTACGCAACCCAGTAAACTATCCTAGAGTTAGCAACTAGTTCAGTTGAGCCACGATGGGTTTCTCCTTGAAATCACCAGCCGAGTAGCAAAAGCTCGAGTCACCTTGTTAATCTCCGCCGCCTGTTGCGCCTACTGCACTTCACTTTCGCACGGTAAGGCAGTGGGTACAGTGAAGCCGTTTGTTTAACCCTAATGCCGGGCTGAGTTCCGAATGACGATGAACACGTGTGGTATATATTCAAGTGGACGGGATTAAACGGTAATATAAACACCAATGCAGCAGGTGTTCAAAGTTGCCCACGGCGTTCTATTTGCAGTGCAATAATCGCCTGGGGCAGTTGGCAACTGCTTTTCTCAATTTTTCCGCGGTGATTGTGCGACATTCGCTCAAGGTGTTCTCTGTCAGTGCTTCCAAGGAATTCGGCCTTTTCTTATAAAAGCTTTGTTTTAAATAGACCTGAAGGATAAAATCTAAGGGTTCAACTCTGGTGACCGGGAAGTAAACTTCGTTGGTCCACCCCGACCAATTCATCGGTGGCCGAAACTCCCGCTCAGGTAAACACGTACCGGTTGGGCACATTGTGCAGGTGCGTTATCATGTTGACACCAAGCGGTACCGCATAACCCATCCGCCTTCAATTGTGGAAGTACACAGGTCTGGAGCATTTCCTTGTAAGATAATGCTAGAAAAGGCATTGCAATAATACTACACAAAAGACAACCCACAGGTCACATTGCTGGAAAAAATGGGCCCAGGGTTTAACGACCAGTTATGTTAGTCCAAAACATGACCTTTTGGCTATGCTGCGTACGTGTAGCACGGTAAAATCGAGGATTAGACGCTGACCAAAAATACTGTTTTTCCATTCCGTTCAAATGAGGCACTGATTGATCAGAGAAAGGGAATAAATTGCCATTTGATTCAAGAAACAGCAGCTAAATGCATTCTGGTTCTTCAGATAGCACGGGATCGAAACTTGAACTTGAAGTTCACCATACCGACGAAATTTCCTTTTCTTTAAAATCCGCTAAACAGCGTGACTAAGGGAGTCAAATTGTTGGGCGATTGTACTGATGCTAAGATCAAAATCGTCCGCGCCTTCGCAGATATAATCGCAAGCCGAAAACTTATCCGTAGTGGAGGGAATCCGGCCAGTTTTGCTGGTGTCGCAAAGACTTCCAGTTGTTTCGAACATTTGCGCGTTTCAAAGCGCAAAGGCCACATTCCAGCGTTCTGTTTGTTGTATCTCCGCGACGTTTCTGCAGCGTTTAGACCGCACTGGCCATACAACCGCAAAATTAGCACGCGATAATCAACATCCACGTGTTGTAACTCCGGTTGCAGATAAGTCGTCGAGGAAGGTGCAACACCGTGCTCCATCGCTGAGTCACTGTTCCAACACAGGAACCATTCTCCACAGTAACTTCGTTTGGCCTGGCCAACTAAATACTGGTGGGGCAGAGATAAAAGTTGTCCATCATTCGCATGCACCGTAGTCACACTGCTTCAACGTACCTCATGACCATAGCAGTCGCGTCGCTTAACATGCACCTTTCTGTCCACACACCAGTTGTCTAGCTCGCATTTCGGTTGTGGTTCGCTTGAAGGCAGAATTCATACGTCCTATCCCCTTGGGGTAGAGTGTCTGTACGTGCGCGTGAATTGCAGGTGCGTTCATGCGATCATGCCTAGGTGCGAGGAAACGGCTTTCCGCCCCATATTCCCAATGGCACTGTAAATGGTTTTTAGGTTGCATCATGTGGGTATGCCATTATTACTGCAGAAGTCCTCGAAGATTGCCGACGTGAACTAAGTTCCATTATTAGTTATTGTTTACCTGCATACTAGAACCGATCAAAAGGTTGATATACTGCGGAACTGACTACGGTGTTAGCTTGTCAGTTGTCGGGCAAAGCGACTATGTTTACTCGAATCGAATGAACAAAGCGGGATTGGGGTGCAAGCAATGAGTCAGACACGAGCTTTGTCCAGGTCAAAAGCAGGCTGGTTGATCACAGGGGACACAGATGTTGAACTTATTGCTAATCGCATGATGACAGTTGTTAAGCCGTACGAACGAAACAGACAGAGAAGACTGATGAATAGGCAGTCAGCCCAAGCAGCGAATGAACCGACCGGGATGAGTTTGGGGTCTGAACAAAGTGCGTCTTTATTCCGGCTAGGCGAGGAGTGAACCCAAGATCTAAGAACAGCTGATGGACGCCAGCCAATGAATCAGACAAGTGACTGAAGAAGTGACCATTTAAAACGGGTTTTAGTAAATAATTAGCTACAGTGTACAAATGCGCATGTGTTCATTATTGAAAGATTTTTGATCGTCGCCCAGACTGCATTTTCATTCTCGTAGGGCTGCACAACGATGGCTACTGAGGCACTGGTTAATGACATCTGCAACCCTTCTGACCATTTACTGTATGCGTTAACCAGGATAAAGAAATTGTTTCCAATTACAAGTCCTCCATTATCAGCATGGTGTCTAGACTATGGCTTCTTAGGACACAACAGTGGAACTCAAACTTTCGTAGTGACTTCGAAGTTCGCATGCGTAGGAAGAGCGGACAATTTCGTCAACTCGTGCATCAAGTTAAGGCCAGTGAAATTGGCTCATGACCAATACATTCATGAAGTTTGTTGCCGGTAGTCGGGTGTGGAACAGTTACAGGACCTTCGGTCGGATTTGCTTTGGAACCACCACTCGCCCTGCGATGAGAAGACAGCCGTCGACAATCGACAGGGGATCGTAACGTTAATGAAACTGTTTTAGTTCATTGTCTTTGATATTCCGTGGCAATGTTGATCCATGGAATTGGAAAATTGCATCAACAGGAAGTCAAGTGCTGTTGCAACACGTATCTGAGTAGCTGTTACTGGAATGGCTTTGGTGGTATCTGCGACAACGCAACGAACGCCTGGCTCGATAGAGATGCTGGCTAACACGACCTCCTCTGCCCGCGTATCGATCCTTGTCCATGAGGCGTGCAAAGACATTAGCCTGCCGAACTCGTATCCCATAAGAATTGTAGCTCACTTGCTGAATACACTGGAGTGCAATTGGTGTAACCGAAGAGAATAAGTTGAAGCTTGTGATCCGTGACCAGAGTAAAATGGCGGTCATACAGCCATTTGTGAAATTTCTTAATGGCATGGATGACCGTCAATGACTATTTTTCAATTTGGCTGTAGTTGCACTCTGCGAGCGTCAACGACGGGCGGCATGAGCAACTGCCTATTGAGTTCCGTCGGAAAAGGGGTAAGATACAGCCACGCTGACGCCCTAATTAGACTCATTTGTAGCAACGAGGATGCCTAAAGATGGACCGTGATGGGTCAGTAGCAGGTCTGACGATGGCATGGATTTGGTCCGATCGAGAAGTTGCTTACATTCCGTACTCCAGTACCACTTGGAATCCTTGACAAGTAATGCATTTAGTGGGCCCCTTATATCATGCTTTTCTGGTAAGGATGCATCGTAGTGACTCACTAATCACACGAAGGATCCTAGCGTCATCAGAACGTGTGGTGAGGACATTTTTTAGATGACCGCAATACTAGCAGCATCTGGTGCCTTTTTTACCCAATACATGCAGAAAACTCACCATTCCTTTCTCCGGTGAAAGCAATAATCCTACATCCTATAAAGCACGTTTATAATCCGGTTTTCAAGATCCACCGGACCAGTGCCCATGCCAATGATAGCGTCAAGATATTTTGCCGTATTTAACTCGAATGCTAATCAAGTGTACCGAAAGAAACCTCGATTAATAATGATGGTCAGCTACTCCTGCGAATCTACAGAAACTTTCATAGTCAACAGGTCCAGTTTGGAACAACCTTTGCCAAAATTAATCTTTGTGAACAAATCTTACGGAAAAGGAAACGGTGGTTTTCCAGAACGACATTCAGATCGGTGGAGAGGCCTGCACAAATTCGAATATTCCCATTAGGTTTATTGATCACCACAACAGGAGCAGCCCATGATGAGTAATTCAAAGCTTGAAGGATTCTAACCTATTGAAGTCCATTACTCTTGATTCACGCTTGATAAGGCCGCCTACGTTACTGGATGTTTGGGACGGAAAACAGACGTTGCGTCGGGTCGGATGGAAAATACTGCCTTGGATTTTGTAGATTAGACGTCATCCAGAAACATTTGAACGAATTTATGGTACAAACGCTCTAAAAGCACAGTCCTGGGTAGTGATCACAGACAGAACGCACAACTGATTACACACAGAATAAAGTGGGACATCCAAACCTTTTAGTTGTGCGATCCAACCAGGACACAAAAGATTTAGGTTCGGCCGAGTTGAAAGGTAACACAGCACAGAATTGCGCATTATTGAAAAACAGAACACACAAGTTCATCTGTGAGTCGCAAGGCTCATGCGGAAGCATTCCACGCTGTACGATTTATCATCTTGAGTGGGGGCTGACCTATCATCTACCATGTGATTTGTGACAACAAAGCAATGTCAGTTGCTGTACCCAGCTGGAGATGCACATGAGTGTTGTTGATATGCATACTCACATATGTATGTCGGTGTTCTGCGTTCCCGTCGAAAGGCACCATTGCAGACTTTATTGCGTAGATAGATTTTTGTCCGGCATTTTTGAATTTGCTGAACCGAGCCTTAGGTGTTCCATTGTTCGTGCGGTAATAGTCCTCATCGTGTGCCGTTTGTGATACTTCCGACAGCGGTTTTTTAAGTGGGCACAATCGGACATAATGTCAACCACCGCACTGCCAACAGGCTGTTCGGGATTTGTTGAAAGCATCGCTTCTAGAAGAATTAGTAGGCCTCGAAGAAGTGCTTCTTGTTACAGCATGCAGGTTACAGGAACCAGGAGCTGCTTCCGACTAATCATGGTAGTATGGTGTTTCAGGTAAAACAACGGGTGGAACATCGAAATGAATGATTTCAGCTTCACGTTAGGATCCTGCTCCGTCTTATTTAGCAAGCGGGTATGAATATCTGACTCTTGGGGCGACTGAAGGCCACAAACAAATACGAAACGCATGAATTGGTCTTCCATAAGTTTGCAAAGCTCCCATGGTGGTCAACTATGGTCACATAAGAACACAGTCATGACAAGAGTACCGCACGATACAAGTAGAGGACATTTCCTCAAAACCTTCCTTCAACAGCTCAATTATTTCGTTAAATTTAAAAACCTTGCAGTTTTAACAATGAGAAAATGCACAAGCGTTTCGTGTTTATGGTCCCGAGTTTTCAGAGAAGTAACCGTGATTTCCCTGCACCATCCGTATCAGTCAGCTCCGTCCGGAACGTATCGTCGGACCTCTTGAACGAAAATTAAAAAGTGTACCTAGCATCAAGATTATAGCTGAATGCGGCGATGATTTCTGACCTCGCATCAATGCATGAGTACCTTCTATCCGTTGGAAAGAATGAATACTGAAATTTGCGACAGCCTTTCGGAAAGTCGCGCAAGTGATTCCACAAATAAGTTCTGCTACGGCTGCAGGGTTAAGTTAAGCTCTTCCATCGAAAGTGGCATCTTCGGAAGCTATATGCAATTGTCCTTCGTCGCCAGAAAAACATGTAGCCCCTTATGAATCGCGAATGTGCCGACGTCCAAGCCCCAACGCTCGACTCAAATCGAAGGTGGAACGAAGTCGAAAAAAACTAATTTCGGCCGCAAAGACAAAACTGAGTCATTTAAGATGCCATCGCATTGGCTTTTAAAGTCTTTCTACCGAAGGAATTTCATATACTCAATATGGCGAAATGGCATTAGCTGAGCAAGGGTCACGACCACTAAATTTATAAATGAGCTTCGAACTAGATCGCTGGACATTGTACTAACCGATTTCATTGGGGTATGTGCCCCTTACCACTTAGGTAGAACACACTTAGTATGCTAAAACATGATGAGCTGATGGCGTTTCTATGCACACAATGGAAGAGCTAAAAGGCACTACGGGAATACGAAACAGTTCCAGAGAGCATATCCAACACAAGCTAGCATTGCACCTCGATAAAGACCAGGTCGGCATTTTTAGACGAAGGCAGATTCATTTCATTAAAATGACGCATTGCGTTAATACCGCGTTGTAGACTACTGCCACAACAGAATAGTAAGGTAAGTTTGCACGCTTATCGGGAAAGTTGGGACTCACGTCAGGAAACGGCTGCCGCAAAATGTAGCCGACTGCCGCTGCATCTACTAACCCCTTGTCAGTATCGTTAGTTTGTTGTCATTTTCTAATAATGGTAAGAATTATGGAAGAGATATCGTATACCTTGGTTCAATTTCCAGGTTAGATTATTGACTGTTTCAGTTTGGGACAGACTTATACTCATCTGTTAAAATATGTATGACAGAAAGCTACCTCACCTCGAAAATGAGGTGACATATACAATTACTGTAGTCAAGCTTCCGACTGTTTTACGCATCAACAAGTATGCGGAAATAGGGACCTGACCGAATGAGTAAAGATCGAATTGAGTACGGCTTAGAAAACCGACTTACGAGGTAATTAAAGAAATCAAGAAATCCACCGAAATCTTTCAATAACGCATTCGGGGTAAACATTAACCCTCTAGCAAATATCTTCAAAGCCATCTCGAGCGTCATTGCCACAAAGAAAATATATTCACATATCTGTAAACAGAACAGAAGTTGTAACTAAATATGAATAGCAGGCCAGCGCACTTTTGGTAATCAGTTACTGTTCGATAACTAATGTGTTATGACCGTTGCGGTTTAGCGAATGATGATAGTATAAAGCCAAAGTTTGGTAATGTATAGAGGCCACTGATGGTCAGTTTAATCGAATGTCAGATAGTATCGGCGATATTAGATGGTCCCTTGAGCTCCAATGTGTGTGAGCTACAAAGGAATCCTGAGAAAACTGCACAGTGTACCACGATCATAGGAGAAAATTGGAACAGAGCGTGAACCGTCACGTTTAAGTCGGTCACATTTGCGAATGAGGAAATAATGATTCCATCTATTATTTATTTATGAGCCTTGTCTAGCCTCTAACCCGCTCAGTAGACAAGTTCATTGCAAAAGGTGTAACACCCATATGCGGACCAATCTAAGATTCCCTCAGGATTACCCTCAGGATTAACCATACTCATGCTTACGTGATGCATACAAGATGTGAAGTCGGACAGTAGAAAGATGATTAGGTATGTACGTTGATAGGAACTTCGGTAAATATGACCAATAATAAGTAAACCTAGAACTCATGATCAAAGATAAGTTGTAAGCCGTAATCTTTATAATTATTGTTATACACCAATGTTAGGGGTGTTTGTAGTCACATTTTCCACGTGCATACTGTTACTTTACCTCCCAACGCATGGTTATTTTTCGCTTTTTATTACACCCAACCTAAACGTAGCTGATCGATCCGCAACCATCGTCCGTCAAGAAACACTGTGAAACAAAATTAATGGTGCAAGAATAGCTGGAAAAGGAATTGCTTTTGGTCCTGTACAGCGATCCTACAATTTTCGTTTGAATTTTCACTGTATATTGTGATCGGATCAGTTTTGCTGGGTCGTGTGTCACCTAGTTAGGAATATACTAATTAATTACTGAGGGAAATCAGAACTATAGAACCATATGAAGGTGTGAACGGTGCACATTGTTCGGGATGGTTGCCAAACAACCTCGCGGCGCCAGCCAGGTGACTCGGGAGTACCCCGTTCTGGCTAATGCTTCGATGGCAGTATTCCAGGACGTGGTGGGTTTTCGTCCGGCATGCGTTCACTATATAGAAGCCAGAAATGTCTGTTTAACCACATTGTAATGCGGACGATGTGATTAGCTACTAACTAAAGTCACTCGCGCTTGCTTTACTCCAGTGCACCATAGTATTCCAGCATCCTCTTTATTAATCGTGGGATGGATTGGGCCCATGTTTGTCAACCGACCAAGCGAAGCGCGTATGAACTGAGTATGCGGTCAGCGGTATGCAGTGAGTGAGATTCCATGAATTCGCCTTGCTGACTTGCCAATATGCTATTCAGCCAAAGACTAAAATGATGTCCACAAAGACAGCTCCTAAATTTGGCTTGGACAAACCACCACTGAACGAACCATGGTTTCCGCAAATACTACCACGTCGCTCTCTTCTGTTACTGCTTTCTTCATTGCCCACGCAAGTCCACACGGCGAACTTAACTTCGTTACTAAGTATCATTCACTTGAATCTACTTCCAATACCAGTCTTGCTGATGTTCAAAGAGTTCGGCCCGTGGCCCTCCTCTTACCCCGATATTTTATCCCGGCTGACAGTCCTCAATGTTAAAACCCTTATGTAAATCAGGCAGCAGGCTCACCCAGAATCCATCGCTATCAATATTTCTGCCCTTCCGGGACTCGATTATCAGACTGCAGTACCGTGGTCGAGTTGAGGTCCCCTGCTAATCTAGGAAGTAAATATTTCCTGCGTCAGTCTGATGACAAGAAAATAGCTACATCTGGTCAAGTTAGTGTTGGTATCGCAATGAGGGACAAAGCTGAGGCCCGCTACTCGAATGGTTTCCGTATGACAACCGAATGTGTGCGGTTCGGCACCAAAACCCACGTAGGGTCAACAGATATCGTGGAGACTGAAGTAATTTAATCGTGAGCTCCGCCTACGCGCCAAGCGACAGCAGTTGTGTATCGATTAAGGACGACTTCTACCGCAAAGTCCACAACCTATTGAGTAAATCCGAAAAAGAACATGTTGTCACCATTGCCGGCAATTTCAACTTACCGCTCGGTCGCCTGAGGATATGCGAAAGTTGTCTGAGTGGCATTCATGCTATGACAACAGAAATAGACTTCTCAAGTTACGTGAGGATAACCGCAAATTGCTCGCGAGCACGAACTTCAGGTGTTTAAGGAGACACACCGTCACCTGGTGTTTCTTTTCGCCAACGCAATTGTGGTCACAAAATGACCAGATTACAATCAGCTTCAGATAGTGAGCAGTTTACGGGCTTACAGATCGGTTTTGTCTACCTTCCTTGAGTCAGGTCATGCGCCGGTCTGTCCGGACATTTGCATACGCTTCGAGGCCTCCTCGGAACCAAAGCACCGTGCGTCAGATGCCGACAGACTAGCTAATCCCTCCATTCAACTGGCCTATCAATCTTCCTTATCAGGTGCGTTCGCTGGTGCTCCACCTTCAAACGTCGAACATCACTGGAGCTTTTTTGCTCAACCGTGTTGTGTGTTGCTAATCTCCCACTTGCACTCTAAACGTGTTTGACCATCATCTAGTTTTTTTACCTTATTCAAACGGTAGCGAAGTCTTCCACAACCTCAGCCAACAATTCAAGCAAAGTTTGCGTAATAATGGCAAAAGTTGGCTGTCTGAGTATGTTTCAGAGATGCAGATGCTAGCTCTCTTTGGAAAATTACGTAGATTTCTCCGAAATATTCGGACCATTGGAGACTATTTGCGAGGTTGAGTGATCAGCAAGCACCGATCCGCATGTGCACATAGACCGCAGTGCTGAGCACTTCCACTCTCAATTCAGCTGATCTCCTCCTCCCGCTCGTTTAAAAAATATGCCTTTTTTCGTGCCCTGAAACTTTTCACTGGAACCACGCACCGAAGTAAAGGTCTGCCTTTAGTTTCATCACTTGTAACGATTGAAGGCTACTGGCTCAGACGGACTTCCTACGGAGCTGTTCAAGCGCCGTGAAGAAGCAGTGGGCAACCAGTTAACAGCTCTGTCGAGTCCCTTGTTGTCTTAATCTACAAAGAGAGTGCCCGGACCGTATGCGCCAACCACAGAGGAATAAGTCTAATGTCCGTCGTCCCTAAATTTCTAACATCAATTCTACTCCGTAGGCTAACCCGGTTGCGAAACGTAGCCCATCAAGTCGACAAACATAAAGAGGCTAATCACCTTCGATCATCGCTGTCTTCGCAGCTTAGCTCATCCCACATGGGAGGCAATGATCAATGGTGAGAGCAAGAAGCGTGTTCAGCTTCGCGTATTTGGTGCAGGAAGAGTGCGAACGGCTCTGCACCGTTATATCACACACCAAATTCCGATGGCTGGGTCACGTGTTGCGCATGCTAGCACACCAACTCTCGCAAGGTGCGCTGTTTGCATGACCGGGGTATGGGGGGTAAGGGGTGGCGAAGCAATAACTTGATCAAGAGGAATAAAGACCTTCACCTCGAAGTTGGCGTCGGTTGGTATCTCTCGACTGCTGGACTGGGATCCGAAGGACTCTGAACGCGTCAAAGTGGATACCCCTGTTGACGTGGCCAAGAGTTGACCTCGATAAAGTTTGTGTTGTGAGTTTCATTATTCCCCTTCTCCCGTTTAGCTTCTCCCTCAAGCAACGATCACATATCTCATGCATAATATGCTATTTAGCATCGTATTACGTATTAGTTTTTTGGTCTGTAAGGTCTAATATGCTTTTTGTATTGCAGTACAAGAGTTGAGGTGTGCTTCTCACCCTCGGCTAAGGTGTATTGATGATGATGATGATGATGTGTTTCATCAATACCTAAGTTGATTCAGTTGTCAAACTCATCATATCGATGGGCAAGACCGCGCCTATCTGCATTCACCAAAGGATGAGAGGTAATCCACAAACAACGGATAGGAAATGAAGCCGTAGCACATCCACTTAACCGTGGAATCCCCCTGCATCTAACAATGACCACCCGATCAGTTTCCTCTGAAGCAAATGCAAGAATGGAGTAGAGTGACTATAAAAGAATCAAGATATCACCTAAACCTGCTGAAAGGAAACAGATAAACAAGGCCCAAAAGAAAATGTTCTCAAGAACGAACAGAAGCCACAGATCAACAGATCCCCGCAAAGTACAAATAAACTTCTTTTGGGGAGGAATCGAGTTTCGTCACTGCTCGATCCATGTTCTGTTATACGAATGGCTAATTGTCATAGGGTATACCTTGAGCGTCGCATAAACTGTTGGCAGTTTCGGCCACCTGTAAAATCCCAACCTTTATTCCGTGGTAAATTACGCACAGTTTAAGGGATTTTGAGTTGGTGTGGGCTATACAGGACAAGTGTCTAATAATTATGGATAAATCAATAAGCTGGAATTTTCTAGAGTGAAAGCAGCTCTCAGAGTGTGTGATATAGAAGAAGCTACTTCCAAAAGTGTTGAAACATCTCATAATAATTTCGGACAAGCTGGAAGTTCACAATGAATCAATATAAAGTAAATAGACAGTTTTTAAGTAATACCGAAGCTAGATGTGCAAATTTACTGCAACGGTAAACCTTACCTGGACGTTTGGGGAGTTCATCAAACGATGGTATGGGGTCTCCATGGTCATAGAAGCACAGGATAAAATTGTCACCAGAATGGCCACCCAGTCCAAATAAGTTATGTGGCCGAGTAATTTGCTAGTAGAAAAAATTACCAATATTTTACAATTTGATACATGTCATATGCAGTGTGCTTACAAGATAATTTCAAAATTCAAAGAGAACACTCGATCGCCGTTGAAAATTTAGCCCTGTACTTCAATTACACACTTACAGACATATAGATCCACATAATATATAACCCGAGAAAACTTATCTTCCACCGAAGTCACAACATAAGTGCTGTTTGTTGGCCACTTACGTGTATGCAAATACCAAGTGTTTCAGAAGTCATGTCGGTCTTCAGTCCATTGTTCGGTGAACAAGCTGCACGCCGTGGGTCATTAATATATATGTTAATTAAGCTGTTCGCCATTTCCCTCGAACGCGTGCGCGACAGTAAATAAGTCCGGAACACTCCCTCTAGCCCATTGTGAATGGAGTCAATACAGTTTCACAAAGAGAGCTTGATTGAGCAAACGAGATGTCCGTTTGAGGTGCGGGCACAGATGAGACACAAATGACCAGAGTGATCAATGTTCTGTCTACAAGAGCCGATCGGTTGCCTCATTTTGATGCCGCCTCAGGCCATTTTGACCGGACTCTCACCATCACTTAGATGCGCAGTGCAGGCCACTGTTTAATCTCGTAGGCAACTTGTCAATAACATAAGGAGGGGACACATCTAACGTAGTGGAATGTCTACAATGTGCTCAACCCATTAACGACGATCAGACTTACGCGATCTGCTGATGAATTTCAGTGGCTATTCTGTTAATTTACTCGCATGTTATGTGTGCAGCGGTGTACTTATGCAACCTTTGTGTGCGGACTTACGTAGTGATCAGCCTTGAGTAGGCGCTGAACCCGTCGGCATTATGCACACCGCCAGTTAACTTATGTTACCCCCTGCAATTGCGTACAGATCAGTAAATGTAAACTGCCGCCAGTCGCTGATCCGTTTCATATTTGGCGTGGTACTTGATAACAAGGCGACTGCAGGCATCCCTAGATTTTATAACCGCCCTCAGAGCGTATTGTGCAGCAGCTCTATTCTTGCTGCGATTGTCAAAATGTGCCTTCGCCCTTTGTTGTCCATCAACAACTTGTTGTTCCATGGAGTAAACCTAATCGTGTACGCAAGCGATGACCTAAGATTAACTCTGCCGGAGTTCTACCTGTTGTCTCGTTTGGTGCGTTACGGCATACGAACTGGAAACGATCTAAGCGTACATGCAGTGGAGCATTGGGTTGTTTTGTTAATAGATTATTCACCGTCTATACAACCCCCTATTTAACCCGTTGGAAGACGGATGATAAGATGCAGTAGTTAGGTGTTAACGCCGTTCGAGTTGAGAAAGGTAGAAAACTCGGCACTGGAAAACGCTGGCCCATTATCAGATACTAATGTTTCGAGAAGATCAAACTTCGCCAACGTTGTTAGCAGTTTAGTTATGGTGCTCGCTGAAGTTTCTGAGGTCGGAATGTGGGCTGCAACCAATTTAGAATGGGCGTCCACGATCAATAAAACCTCAATTAAAACCATTTAAGCCTCGAAAGGACCAAAACAGTCTACTTAGACGCGTTTCCTAGGTTTTTCTTTCCACTTCTAAGGCTGCATTGGCGCAAGGTGAGCGGTGTTTCGGTTTTCCTTGACGTCCTATATTCGCTAAAATGTTATCGTCTAATTCGAGCCACCACACATAAAAGTAACGTAGTGAATACATTTTGGAAACTCCTGGGTGCGCAACATATAATTCAATGAGGATAGTTGACTGAAATCATGCGCACCTCCGTTCTGGTGGCTGAGGTCAGACATCCCATTACGGACAGAGATAAGTTCTTCGAAAGCGTTTGTGGTCACCCGACTTGAGCGTTGCGCTTCACCAGCGATAAAACGGGATCATTATCCGTTTCCTGACGTGTGTCTGTTGACGTGACCGGGGAATCGTTATGATGCTGAACCAAGCTTACGAGCTCTTGTGCAGTAAACTCCTCAGATGGCATCTCTGGTAAAGGAAGTAGAATAAGGACATTAGTTGTGGTATTCTGCCAGCCGAGAAGGTACTGAATTTTGCATGTATATGTAGATAGAATTAAGAACCAACGAACCATTCTGAGTGAAGCCATTTGTTGGATCCCCTTCTCATTGCCAAGGAGGAAAACACTGGTTTATGATGTGCATAGATCATGAAGGTTGGACCAAGTAAATATTGGCGAAACCTGGTAGTACCAAAGAGCACAGCTGCTGCCTCTCGAGCAAGTTGCGAGTAATTTCGTTAGGCTGCTGTCAATGTTCTCAAAACATAAGCAATAGGTCGTTGGTAACTCCCAGTAATTCATGAAGTAAAACAGCCCCGAGAAATTAAGGGGAAGCATCACAGGAGAGAATCACAAGCTTTCGTTAGTCGCAATGCACAAGGTCCGCAGTTGCCAAAAGCTCTTTGACTGCATTGAATCCTCTTCTAATTCCAGGTTTGGTGTTTACATAAGAATTGAGGATGCGGACGTAGATGTGTTGCTGCCGATGGTATGAACCTTGAAAAATGGGTAACGGCACAGTTGTTGGGTTGAAGATTAAATGTGTTAACTCTGGAGTCAGTAATGTGCTTGACGGTATGTGACAGGTGGCGACTGTGACTTCGAAAATTGAGGCATATTGTAACCGCAGGGCATTGGCTGCTTCGTCGGAGCTTTGTGCCCTACCGCCTGTTGTGAAAAGTGGAGAAATGCTATGCTTTAATTTACGGAAACTGTTGACATGCCGATGCAATGGTTAGCTGTTTGCCAGCAATTTTTGGCTAGGCACTGTTGATAAGCTGT